GTTACAAATTTGAATTGAAATATCCCCCATAAAAATGACTGCAGAAAGTCCACGCGTAACAGGTTTAATTTATTCTAAAGTGTTCTTACTTTGGCTGCTAGGCGATGCAAGGCCATGTGGTCTAGGTCTACTTGTTACAGAAGTTCCCATTGGTGCAGCTGTGGGTGAAAAAAGAGGATGATTCAGATTCTCAGTGTCCAGCAATACAAATGGGGGTTGCTCTTTTAGCAACACTCCAACTGAGGAGCAAATAAAACATATGAGGTTAATTCTACAGACTTTTTCCAGTGATGTCGTGATCGTGCTGGACCTACGATGAGTTGTGATGGTACATGAAAGGAATGCATAGTGTTGTGATGGTAATTTACCTATTCACGATAAACTAGTCAAGCATGCAGTGCTCGCAAAGTGCCCTGTCTAACACATGCAGAGAGTCAATTACTGAGGGTGTGAAGCAACTTTAATAATCCCAATTTTGAATATTTCCATCATAAGACCCATTTGTAGCCGATCATGCAATGGTCAATCACGCATTGGAAGTATGACAGAAAAAAGTCCTACATCTACCGGTTTAGGATCATTATACATGTCGTTTATAGTTCGACATCGACACTACAGGTATTGCAAGCGATCAAGTGACTGAACTTGAAGATGGTCAGCGACCTATAACCTTTCATGTTTAAAGCAGAGACAGTATAATATAATAAATAATATTAATACATGTAATATATGTGATGAATGTGTTGTACATTAGGTCAGCATGAACAGGCAAAATTGAGTGAAAACATGATAGATAAAATTTGAATCTGACCCAAACCTATGCCCGATTGTCTCCAAACTGTATGAATTCTTTTGAAAAAAAATAGTTGTGAGAACTCAAAACTATTGCAATGTAGGAATGCTTATTTTACAATTCCGATTTGAGTGTAGAAATTAACCCTAACAATCCAAAATCCTTCAAAATCCTCCAGGCAGTTTTGGGGGATTTTGGAGGATTGAGGCTACATGGCAAAACTGCATTGCTGATTGCGAAGGATGCACTGTCACAAGGTTGTGGGTTAGACCTTGTGTTGTTTATGTTCAACCATGCATAAATTCATGCCCACTTTGCATGTGAAATCCTCCACACTGCTTGAGGATACCACAGAACATATTTGAAAAATATAGGAGCATTTTGGAGGATTGAAGCTGTACCCAATTTTACACGGTGGCAGTTGGAGGATTTTGAAGGATAGAGGGTGTATCCCCTGAAAAGGGCCCAGGTGGTTAGGGTTAATACAGTCATGGGAAAAGCATCATGCATCTTAGTCATACAGGGCACTCTGACTCGGCAGTAAAAATGCACCATGTGAATTTCAAACCGAACCAAACCGATCCAAAAATTGCAAAAACAACTCTGAAATCAACCCACCCCCGGTGAGAGCCTACATGTACTCGACACAACTTGATGATAGTGGTGAATCTGCGACTTCTAGTTGTACAGTACTTGTGAACACCCCAAACTGACAAGTACTGGTAATTAAGGGGAGGTTAAAAAAACCTTGAAGCTTCAAAACAGGGGTGATCCCAAAGCAAAGCTAACGTACATTTTCAGCAAGCAAAATTCCCTGAAAATTTCGGCAACAGTCAAAAGATTAATCCATCCCTCCTCCCATTTCTGTCCATGAACAGCACCTGTTTAAAAGATGTCATCTTCACCAATCAAAAGCTGACTAAAATCCTGTTTTACATTTCAGTGACTTAAGTACACTGAGCTCCACCAACACTACTTCACATGTGCACAGGATTTCAAGGTCCAAACATTCTTTCGAGCAGATCGAGTGCATGTTTCACATTACTGTAGAGCAATGCACCTTGACAGAGGAAGATTCTTCCCCTAAAAGGAATGGAAGTTAAGGTTAGCAGGAGCAACAGGCAGACAGGTTAATAGATGAAAGACAAACTACAAACAAACAAAACAACAGAACTAGAAAAGGCCTATACTTAACGGGTAGTAGCAGTACATGCAGGCACTGTGAAAGAGCGTGGTCTGCCCCTGGAACCAAGGGATGGAGGGTGCTCCCGCGGTATACCTTGGGTTAGTACAAAAACAATGCAAGAGTACAACGAACAAAATCTACAGGTGCAGTGCTAGTCAAGAAAGGAACTTGGAAAGTGATGTTTTTTTTTTAACAAAACATCTCAGTGATTTCTGTTGAAAATGCTTTGCACTTGTTTGGCAACTTTTATCTGATAAGGTCTTGTATACTGACTGTTCAAAAATTGAAGATACCATTACAAACACTCTGTTTACAACGAGTAAAAAAGACAAATGCCACCAGACCATTCCGGAGCAGGAGAGTAGCCAGCGAAAAGATTGCGATGCAGCAACAACAGGGTAAGGAACTCATATTAAAATGAGCATACACATGTAAAATAAAGTCAGGATACTAGACATTCTACCAAGTTAAACTTGCAATTTTTTTTGCAAATGCCTTTTTTAATGAATGTTATACACAAAAACTTAATACAATGTGCATGGAAGCTAAGAATCTGCTTGTAGCAACCCAGTCATTCTGCCCCCCCCCTTCAAGAATGACAATTTCTGCAGACTGGTTATCCTTCCCAAAGTGATGAGTGCACCCACAATGACCACTCAAACAATGTGGCTATTAACGTCAGCAAAATTGGGGTAAATACAACAAAACACAGTCAACGATTCAATGTTAGAGAAACGGAAATGTTAAGTTAAAAATGAAATTATACAAATAGCAAGAAGTAAGATTGTCAGGGGGTTTAGAAATTCATGCAAAGCCTTGCTGTCTCGGGGTATGAGAATGACCAATGTTAATATCATCATCCACCTGACAGGGCAAAGGTTTATTTTAATATCCGAATGCACGGAGAAGGGTATGACACTCTAGGTGTACATGTACACGCATTTGAGGGCTAAACCGGTCTGGTTACCCAGAGTGCAGGATCTGTAATGCGCACAGCAAATTTTATAAAAGAAGTGATATATAATCAAGAGTGTCACCAAGAGCTTGCCATGGTGAGGCCTAATTAACGGTGTATTATGGGAAAAAAGATCTGGGTCAATTTTACCCCTTTTGGGCATCCACAAAAAATAAGGTTGGATTTTTTGTGGGTACGTAACAATTTCAGGCTTTTTCATATTTCAGACTGCTGAGAGAGTGAAGCGACTTTGACGCAACAAAACATTTGCAGTGAAACTCGCATGCGTTGAAATGTGTTCAACTTTGCATATTCACAGGCAGGAGTATTTGATTTGACGTCGTAATCTGGCATTCGTGTTCAATTCAACGCCAGGTACTGCATATACTAGCTTTTTGTGTACTTAAAAGGCTCCAAGTGCACTTGTGCTCGTCCAACAGTGTACACAGACAACGAATGGGCAACAATCGCAGTATCATTCAGATGCCGACTGTGAAGTTGAAAGTGGCCTCTTTAGGATAAACATTTGGCCGCACACTGTACTACAAATTGCCCATATTTCAGAAACTCTGAAGAAGTTGCCCGACCTCAGAGGTAAAGTCAGTCAAGATTCCGAGTTTAGTGGATGGTTGGAATCATTACCAGGGCTCTGGACTATTTCACCGGAGGCCACTCCGTTGGTTGTCGCGGCGTCGGATGTCCTGCTGGTGGGGGTTACAGCCTGTGCTCCCACCGTGGCTGCAGCAGCTGTGGGAGGAGAGGCAAGAGGTGGAATGGCTCCAGCCGGAGGGGGTGTGTTCTGATACAGGGGCGGTGGCTGGCTGGGTGAAGCCATGAGATCCTGTTTGATCCCAAAAATAGAGAGAAAAAAAAATTAGTCCAGGGTGTGATCTGATACTAGAGTGAAAGCACCATATTTGTGGATGTACCATGGAAGCAGATTCTTCAAGATGTTGGTCCTGAGAAGAACCCATGGTGGGAGAAGGTCTGGACAGTGTGCTCTGTTTTGTCTTCAGCAAACTACTGGAGTGATGCAGGCATAGCTGGTTATATCAGGTGGCTGGGGTCATTCAGGCGTGGAGCAAAGAATGCTTGGATACTGAGGCAGCATGCAAACTATTGAGGCACATAGGGGGAGGCTGGTTGTTTACTGGAGCATGTCATTATACGCAGTTCCGTGAAGAACCAAAAACTCTACATTTTGCACATTAGCACTTTTTTGTTGCAATGCGACACTGTAACAGTTACCCCAACAATCACAGATTGGGGTTACCTAGTTGAACAAATCAAGCACGGGTGAGTTTTAGCACATGTAAGAGATTGCACAGTTCATGTCCCACCAATGTGAATCTGGTAATTTTCTTATCACTGGAAAGAGTTTGGCATAAAAAGCTGATGAGATGATATAAGATTATGATGTCAGGAAAACTACGGTGTACAAAAACTTTTAACAAGTATCATGTAGTATTTCCTGAAAAAAGTGTCTCTCTAAGAGGTTTGAAATAACAAATCGACAAAATTGTGCGTTTTCCTTATTGAACAGATTTCCTAGCCCTTGGCTTAAACTTAAAGCGTTATGAAATTTTTTGCACACATCACTGTGAAATAGTTAATTGAACGAATACCTTGTTTGGAACTGTAACCGAGTTCCGTGCATTAGTCAGTCTAAAGGGTAGTTGCGATCAATTTGTTTTGATACCAACCTTCAAAATGCACCTTTGTGTCAGTTTAGCTTATTTCTATCCTTTGTTTCACTATTTCAAAGGGTATTTTACTGTCTTTTTGTTTTAATGCTAATGAGTATTTCCATATAAATGAGCAAAAGTGTGACGTCATCCCAGGGGGAAAGCCTCTATGTTACATTGGTCTGTGCACAAAAAGTCCTGTATTTTTATAAATTTTGCTGGACTAAATTTTCTCTTTTCAGATTAATTGTTTATGCGCATACTAATAAGCAAGCATCAATCCCTCTCAGAAATGTTTTAGTACCTAAATACTGGCTTCACAATTTGAACAGAAAGCTATGCACTGAACTTTATCTTCCCTGAATGACATCACAGCAAGAGCACCCTCAGGTGTCCTGGAAAGCATGGATCATTATCAGTTTTTAGAAAAAGTGCCTTTTTCAATGCATTACCAAATGGGAATGGAAAACAGTATCCATACACTGAAGAAAAGTACAAAGTTGCAAAAATTGTCAAAACAAACTCACTGCAGCTAAGCTTTAAGTAAAAAAATGGTTTGCAACAGCACTTCGCAAGAATATTTATTTTGTTAGCATGCGTGTTTCTGAAAAGAACTAGAGGGTATGCAACGTTTCAGACAGTACGCTCTAGCCATCGTCAGATTTCCCCAATTTCCGGTACAAATTTAAGCCACTGTTCTACATATTTTGAAAGAAAGAAGGTTTTGTTTCCATTAAAACACAGAAAAAAGAAAGCAGAATGATTAAACTCTACTCTTTGCACTTGGCGACAGTGTCCAAAAAAAGGCACTGGAATAACTAATCCTTGTGCAGTCAGGTGTTTCAATGCTTAGTTTTCGGTTTTGTTCTTACTTCACAAATATTCAGACAGACTGTGTAGTGTTTGCCCAAATCTGTGTTTAACCCTCTTAAGTTTGCAGCACCTTTAGGAGTGTTGGCTGTGACAATCCTGCTGTTGTTCCTCCCCCTCCTGCTGCTGCTGCTGTTGTCGCTGAGTTGGTCTCGCTGTAGGGTGGTGGTTGCTGTCCCTGCCGCGCCTCCAACTCCACAATGCGCATCCTAAGCTGTGTGTTCTCTGTCTCCAGCTCCCGTACCTGTTGCAACCAGAAAGCAAAAATGGTCTGCTGGTCTGAGATACGTAACTGGGTTCTGAGTGAGGAGCTACATCAGAGTCACTGAGTATCACTGACTGACTGTCACTGACAGGTGAATCCTCCTCCGGAGGATATTGTTTTCACTTTAACTTTTACTTGAGTTGGTCAAGTGCACTCAGGTCTTGACTATGTTGTGTGAGAGCAAATGCATTTACGACACGCATCCTCACTTGGCTCTGATGGGTAGATCACCCATCTGATCATTCAACTGAAAATGTTAACAGCTTTCAATAGTAAATCTGTGTCATTTGACATTTCACAAATACCTGGATCATTTTGAGATTTGGATGGCCGGGTGCGGTAACTTTACAACAAAATCTTGTTTGGGGATTCAGGTTTGGAAAATGCCATCGAATGATATCTGAAATATAGGTCTCACCTTCTTCTGCAATGCTTGGACTTGGGAGCCTATGCTTTTGCCAGTTGTCTGTAGGAAATGTTGGTAGGCCAAGTCAAAGGCCTGACCGACAGTAAGCGTTATCTCCTCAGCCTGGAAGATGACCGCACAGGGTCAAGAAAGACAGGGGACGACAGAAGGAATAAAATTTTTCAGTTTAAAAACTGACAAAATATGGATAAAGCATAAGTTATTTCATCTGCATATCTCTATATGAAAAAATTAGTGCTGGCTTCCCTATGCCAACCTTCCAATCTTATGCATTGGCATAACCACTTTGTGCTGGGGGTACCCAGTTTTGGGCACACGGGCTTTATACACGAAGCCATGGAGCCTGAATTCGGATAGAAGAGCTGGGCCTTGTAACAAAAGACGGTACTCGGAACAAAAGACTGAGCTGCTGGGAACTGCCAACATTTTTTCAGTTGTCAATAGCAGAGGAAACTTTTGAAAACAGAAAATAAAATGTCACCCAGCCAAGCAGAATCAAAATGGATAAATGGGCCCGGCACGAAGTGGTTAAACTTTTCAAAATCTAAACAAAACTGTCACAGTACAGTCCACATTCTTTCATAAAGGGAGGTCAAGTCTAAAGCCTATTCTACTGCTGCATGGCCATTTCAGTACAATGATTTATTTCTGCAGCAAAGGGTAATGAGTTTAGAAACTGCAAACCACTGCAAGCGTTAGAAATCATGGTCCTTGGAAAATGCTAGCATCACTCCAGAGGAAAACCAGAAACCAGTTAGAATAATGAACCTGTTCCACTACCATAGCCAACAGAATTCTCACAGGTACTACACTATAGAGTACCAAAGTGAATACGTCATGCGCACAATTATTAGTGTGTAAAAGGCATTAGTGCAAGAACCAGCATGTGAATCAACACGTGCATGTACTCTATTCGTTTGCATACTTTCTGGTTCAAAATGACATCACACTTCGGTACTCAACAGACAAATGCTGTGAAAAGAATTACAAGCCATTACTGTGGACCATCCTGTGCGCATGCAAGAGACACATGTACATGTTCACGCACGTTACATTCCTCTCCGACCAACTGAGTGTTGACTTGCCAAAGCAGCGTGCGCTCTAATGTCAAGATGTGCGCGAGTGCAATGACCCCATAGGAATGGTGTCTCCTCAGATTTGTCCATAGAGCACCTACTCCTCATTCTGAAATGGAGAACCGTTGACACCTTCCCAAGTGCAGACATTTTGAATTCATGTGCATGTTTGTGTGGAACATACCGTAAGGAATCAAGATGAAACATATTCTCTTAAAAACAATGTGCAAGTACAACACTCAGGAACGACGTACAATGTATGAGTGTATTTTCCACAGCATGACGCATTACAACGCCTCAGCAAAATTCATCACCAGCTTATAGGTGCAAGCATTTTGTATTGACTTTGATCATGCATCCTTTTAGAATACAGATGTGTATGCAAATAGTCACACAAAACCGTACAAGTATTTCCATAGGTTTGTACACAAAAATATGAGCATCTAGCACAGTGCGTCCATGCTCTAATACACAAATATTGACTACTTCAAGTGGTATATAGAAAAACTAGCTTCCCGTGGGGGCCCATGAAGCATTCGTTTTGCCAAGGCAAAATAATATGCTTCATGTATCACTGAGGAGAGTAGTTTTACTATACCAAGAGATAAAGCAGTCAATGTTTATTTTATACCAGTAACGTCTCACCCACAGGTTTACGCTATGAGCTGCAGAGGTGGTGACAAGTCCAAACCAAGTCAAAAGTCAAAAACTGATAGTTACTTCATGTAAAAAAATTATAATCTTTCATCAAAATAGTGAGGAGAGTCTAAGTCAATTGACTTGAGTCAACAACTCTGATAAGCCAAAATACATGCCTGGGTACCCCTGGGTACAGTTCATGCCGTTTCGTTGCTACAGACAAAGTTCTTTGGTGGTCGCTACGGGTATAGCTCTTTTTCCAGAGCGAGGCTGCATGTGTACAGTTTTTTGGAGTGGTGGTGCAAAAATAGTACAACTAGCGTCATGTGATGCATTTTCAGCCAATCAAGACATACAATGAGGTGTAATGATAAAAAAATATGTATGTACATGTAGCTCTGTGGCACTTACACATTTTTCACTGTCCATGACATAGCAGACATTCTTGTTCGTCGCCTCCTGCTTGCAGATGAAGGCACATATTCTCTTGTCCTGCTTGTCGTCAGCACAGTAGGAGATGCGATGCAGAGGGAATGTTTCCAATCTTACCTGCCATGACAAAGAAGAACATTGGGTCTACTGCACAATTAACCCTTACCCTTTTCAATCCTTCACCTGTTGGAGGACTGAGGAGTGTTAGGGTTAAGGTACAAAGAACACCGAGCACTGTCTGGCAAGCAAGGACTGAACAGCTGCACATTGTATGGTAGGAATCTGGAGACTTTTGGGGAAAAGACTTCACTGGATGAGTTCCACAACTGTAAAAGATGGTGTGGTCTGCTTAAGAATGCGAAGAGAAGGTGCTCCCATGGCACGTTAATAATATGCTTGGTTCAAGCATGAATCTATTACAAGTAAAGAATGCTAACTACATGTCATGACCCGTACCCCAATTCACAAAAGATGTTTTAGATGCCTTTGTACGATTTACGGTCATCATAATCTTACAAAGCACTGCATTCATGACAAATCTTGCAAGGCATTTACCATGATTCACGGTAGATGATGCCATCAGTGCAGTTTTAGCACAGAAAATGGCTGTTAAATATCACACTGTACATGTAAATGTCTAAATTACGGTAACAATGGAAATGAAATTACTCCTTAACTTTATGCCTTGAAATGGACACTCAGGTCTCTTGTAACTCTTCTTTACAATCTCTGGTGGTCAACGTGCGTAATGTACAAGTTGTACCATGAAACCAGCACACAGCGCAGAATGGCAATATTCATCCATCGGCAGCTCTGATCTCTACACACTGACCGAGGGCTGGACACCAATGGGCGTCGTTTTCGGAGGCCTAAATGAGCTCATGAGCTAAACAAAGTCCCACAGGAACACTCAAAAACCTGAATCATAACTGGCTCTCCTCCTTGAGCGGGACCAAGACAGGACGCATAATGGAGGGAACTGTGCTTTGCTGTTTCACAAACCACTGTGAAATGCTCGCATTACGGTCACATTGCTACCAACGAAATCAACACTCCCAACCAACATGGCTCTTTTCAACCAATGTGAGGGTGCTACTGCTCAACTTAAGTTGTGTCGGGACTCTCGAGGGCACTCATTTCATGTTAAATTCATGTTAAATTACGTCAGCGGCGACTAGATACCAGTACCTTGGACTGTCTGTCTTGGATGGTGACGCCCATGGAGGAAATGGTTAGCTCAACTTTGGGGGGTTTCTCTCCCTCGGCCCGTTTCAGCTGCTTGGCAAACTACAAGGAAGAGGGTAAAAAAAAGGAATGTGTGCTCAATTCCTCTGCTATGAACTAGAAGAACCTCTCACATGAAATGGGATACTCAAGTACAATTCTAAGCATCCAACCATGCTGTGTCGTGTTAAAAACAGGCTGTGATCATGCACAAAAGGTATATTGCATTCAGTTTTTTAAGTACCCCGACTATCTGAATTTTGGTATTTCTTCAGAGCACTAGCACGCAAGAACAGTTAATGATGCTCTGAGACTTATGCTTTGTTTGGAAGCTCGGATAACCGCTAGTTTGTGAGAGACTTGGTCACTTTCTGTGCGAGCATCTTGCATGGTGTGTGCCACAAATGACCTCCTTGCATGGTGTGTGCCACAAATGAACCATCCAAGGAAATCAGAACAAACTACACTACATGTACTTGATGTTTATATCCGTGTTTATGGAACAATTGGAAATTAAACAGTAAAACTCACATGTGACACTCTCAGCAAATGACAAATTAATCACAACAATATACATGTATCTTTGTGAGTGAATGGTATTACATTAAAACATTGGTATTAATATGTAAGTGACATGTAACTGTGGCAGAAAGTGGTATAAAGACATGACACCAACTGTAAGTTATTGTTATCATGGGTGATCAGTATGTGAAGAAGGCTTGAAGGGACATGTACACAACCATTTTATGAAGAAGCGCTGGCTCTGAACCAGTGCTCCTTCCATCAGGTTTCTCGACCAACTTCCACCTAAAAAAATCCCACAAGCCCCCTCCCCCCAGTTTTTGGCTACGATTGGCATTACAATGTGCATTCAGAGAAGATTAACAAACATTCCTGTCCGAGTTTGCACAGACAGCAGCCCTGTCACCTACTTTCTGACAGGGCACAATTTGCAGAAATCTTGCCAATTGTATATTAGTCAACAGAAGGCACCATCTGCCAATATTTGAAAGGAATTGTGTTCATCACATGTTGCAAATATGAAGTGGTTGTGAAGTGTCCAGGATACCAGTAACAGCGACATTATTTACAAGCAGAGGATGTACATGTAGGCACCATAAAATGCATCTCTCTCAACGGTGATAAAGTGAAAGGAGCAACAACACTAAGATGTCCCCGACACCTGTCGCTGTCACTGACAGGTACCTGGCCAAGACTAAAAACAAAAGGTCATGCTTAAACATTTGTCCTGTCTTATAAAGGCATGAACAGTGGCTGCACAAATGACACATGTACATAGCCTACACAAACACCTACGGTACAACTACTGTACAGAACAAATACTACCTGTATGTAAACAACAAAGAAACACAACGAAAACAAAACAAAAACACACAACATAAAGCAGGAAGTGAAAAAAATAGGAAATTTGTACTATAAAAAAAGCAAATCTGATGAATTTTTTTGTACACAGAGTTTCATGAGATTTTATGAACAATATTGGTTGATTCTCCACATCAGTTAAAAAAAAAGGGTAACATTCAACTCTGCCAACATACACATTGTGTTACTTCACTGCCAGCAAACACACATCTGTGTTCGACAAAATCTACACAAACAGAGAGGACAAAACAAATGGAATGTTTAGAGTTGCAGATTAACGGTCGTGCTTATCTCGATGGCTTGCTGCAGGAATAAAATCATGGTTTACAACTTCACTCATCCACGTACATATACGTCAATAAATATGTGCCAAGAGTTGCACTGGACTTTGAAACACTCCTAAGCACATGAAAATTTAACATACATGTATACACATACATGTTATCAAACATTCTGACCTGTAAACTTCTTTCACAGAGGATACATGGGTACAATGTACATGTATGATGCACCCACACTTTGCAATGCATGTACATGTACATGTAAACCAACCCCATTTGAGACTATGGATTGAGATTTATGTGAAGTTGTGAACAGTCATAGCATACATGTATGTGCATGTACCAGTATTTTTGGGGGGGGTGGAGAAAGTGGGTAAATTCTTGGAAGGGCCCTGGTGGGTTGAAGTTCTTCCACAAAGTACAAATACTTCATTACCCCTGGACTTGTTCACCTTGTAGCCAGGGAGCGTTAGGGGCTTCATTCTGCATTTTTTTTCTCACAGACTTGGACAGAGAAGAGAGCGAGAGAGAGACGCAAAGAAGGACTTGTTAGTGGCAAATCACTGAACAGGTTCAATGAGGTCACTCAGGTGTATGTTACACTGAATGCATGCGAAGCATTCATGAGATAACAACATGCATACCTGCAAGCATGGGGAAAGTAACAATACTAGAGCCCAACTGCTGCAAATCATACTGTAAGAAGTTATCCTAATGAAACTTATTGAAGTTTCAACTTCCTTTCATCCATGGCATCAGTTGTAAACACAAAGTTTATCATTAACAGCTTGGAGTAACTACCTAAAACATACAACACTTGATCCATACACATAAATCTGTCATCTTTACTGCAACCCCCTCCAAATCTTGAGACTCCTCTTTGATAGGGAAAAAAATCCAGCCTATACATGCAGCAGCCAAGGTACTGCACCTGTAACTGATTTCCAGAACTGCTTCATTTTATAGTTATGGTTTCAGTTGAAAGAAATTAGTGATGTGCTTAAAACATGTGAGTACATGTACGTACACAGTCACAATTCATAATTTATGTCAGGCATGCAACTTGGACACTGAATAAAAAAGAAGAGGAAATTCCAATCTTTACAAGACTTTGTACAGTGTTTTTTCAATTTCAGTGGCATGAGCGTGAATTGAAAAACCAGGAAATCAGCTGATCTGAGGAAATATTTTATGCCTGGCACATACTACAACCGAATTCATACAAAAATGTGTTTGTACATTCATGGACAACATCCCCCTCCCAACAAAAAAAATTCCCTCGTTAACAATTGTTCTTGGACAAAAAGATTTTATTTCAAGGAAATGGTAAGGAGAAAGGTTACAGGTGCATTTCAAAGGAGACATGTTTTAATTGTCAGGGTGGCTTGAGTGGAAAGTATTCAAATTGAGGAACGAGGACTTAGGTTCAGCTAGTTGAGTGACAGTATTTTTAGTAATTTTTTTTAATTCTGCAAATGGTGGCACTTGAATGGTTTCAAACATGGTGACCATACATGTATATGTACAAAAATATACATGCTGATTCTCAGACTTACTTGCATCATCCGGGGCAATCCTTGAGTGTCTTGCTACAAATGAATGCGGGTTTACCACAAAGAAATGAAATGGAGTGAAATTGAATGGAAAAAAAGAAAACCACTTCTGCAGGCTGGCATTGAAGTCCGTTATCTGAAACTGCTAAATAGATATCTTCCAGACAGGCACTTGGTTAAATGATGGGAAATGGATGCTTCAATGGCTGTTGTGTCCTTGAGCAGGTATCTTCACAAAAAACTGCGTCTTTTCAGCTGAGAGCAATTGACCTCAGAAGTAGGGTTCTAGAGATATTTCTCGTGTCATTTTTGTCACCCGGGATGACTTCAGTGCCCACTTTTTATCAATTTCTTCCACAGCTGTGATTACAGACAAAGATTTACTAAGCACATTCTTAGGAATAAGATCTGAAGCTTTGCACGGTAGATGTGTGATAAAGTAAGCTTTGCTGTAACACCATGTGGGAATAATAAATTAAGAAGTGTGGTCCTGAACCAAAACATATTCTACACCACCAATTCTAATCAGAACAACACTTCTGAACAAAGATTAATCCCATACAGTGTCTTTGCAAAGCTTACCAATCGTATTGCACTGCATTTCTGAATGAGTACAGCACTAAGCTGGCTATAATAACAGCAACCACTTTAGTTCATCAAAAACTTGATTGCTAGAGATACAAAGCAATCAATTTTTACAACTGAACCTACAAGAATAGTCGAAAGTACTGAACAAAGGATTTCTCATTTCTTGTTCGTTGGGCTGAAAGAAATTTTGTGAAACGTCCAAACAAATTTCAAAACATAGTGAAGGTGGACATGGTACTCGACATACATGTAGATGTGTGTAAAAACACGTCTTGTTTACCAACAATTTACCCATACAGAACACTGTAATGCTGGCGTAACATTTCCATATTCTTAGAATTTTAGCAGGTTTTTTAAAGGAAATCATACCCCATTGACTGCAAACGTGTGTGTGTGTGTGTGTGAATGACAGCTATCCACAGAGACTGAAACCTTGAAAAAGCCAAAACACAGGTTTTAAAGACCCTGTTAAGAATGTCCCAAGCCTAAAAGCAGAAAGTAAATTGAACAGGAAACACTACAAAAGTAAATGTATGTGTACGCACAGTATTAAATGGACCCACAATTGTTGCTGTATTTCTCTGGGGCACTGGATTACAATGGTTTAAAGTACATGTATGGTCAGTTGAGGACGACTTTCCTACATACCCAGGGCACGCGCATGCAGGGAATAGTCAGAAAGGAATTACCTATTGGTGTAGCCATATCTGGCAGTTTGTTCTATAAGCCTGTGCACTACCCGAGCTGAGTTTATCTTGTCCGGGAAGATGATGTAAAATTTTACCCATTAGTCTTAATACCCTCAACCAACAGAATATTGGAGTCAAGAGTTTTTCTCATAGGAAAAAACTAGCAAGCAGCAAGAAATGCACTATCCATGCCAAATGCAGCAAGATTTCCAAAGCACCCCAAGGGTTAGGGTTAAAATGGAATCAAATGGAACAGTTGACACAAAAAAAAAACCAAACAAACAAACGCAGCATAATCATAAGCAAGAAGAGAAACAGGCAAAACATGAAACCCTCAACCACTGAAGGAAACCATAGCACTTTTAAAGCCCATTTCACACACGCTATAAAACATGAAATTGACCAAAGACTGACCACTTACATCAAATTAGCAAACAACAGCATTGTGCATAAAGAGGCCGTCAAGAAATAACCCTTGAAATGTGCTTATTTACAATACCCCTTAGCATTTTCACAAGGAATCTTCCCCCTGTGCCAGTAATAGATTTCATCTTCTTTGTGTTTAGTCTTTCAAGGACATCATGCCTTCACGTAAAGTACTGTAAAAATTGGTTAGTCTCTAAAAATTCCACCTGCATTATGCCATGTCTTTGAAAATTTTGTGGTTGACAACCGTACGAGTCTGAGGTTATCAAATGCTTCATTGGTTCAGCAGTTCAGATTATTGGTATCGTGCATCTGTCAACTGCCATCTGCTTTCGTGCAAGCATTTTAATTTTCATCTGACAATCTCTTTTGGAATTTCACAAGGTGTGTACATTCCTGAACCTTCATAACAAGTATGGTACACACTCGTTCGATGATGTGATTAAAGTTACATGTACATGTACCGATATATCTGTAAGCGGCAAGACCTGTACATGTACTTTCATTTAAGGAATCAGTTGAAGCATTTTCATCACGTACCTTTAGTTTCCGGACAGCTTCTCTTACGACTTCAGCACCTTTTGGTTGGTCAACCTCCATGTGTCCAAGGAGCTGTAAAAGAGGTAAATATTGTTCATCCATTACTGAACACCTATCTGAAATCCCTTGTTTTTTCTTTACTGAGAACCTTCAAGAACCCTTCCAAATCTATCACGAGAGTGTACAAAAACTCTGAGGAATGACACTTGCATGGATTATCAAGCCCCAACTTATCTCCAAGTAACATAAAAAAAGGCCTGGTTTGTGCCTCTGCGAGTCCTGTTAAATATTCCCCAACCCCCCCTTTGATTTTGAAGGATCTTTTGAGATCAGGGTGACATGATTTATTAAATGAACAAAATACAGTTTTTTGGGGGGGCATGGTGAAACAAATGGTAATCCAAAATTACCATGGACAATCTGATTTTTATTCACTTATTCACTGTGCAGTGAACTTTTGTACCTTTTTCACTTTAAATATGTGAGCTAATAATGCACTGACCTTAAGTCAACATGAAGAGAAACAGAATCTTCTTGCTCTTCAAGCATTATTTTTTTTACTATTTTAAGATTAACAACTGGACTTAAGTTTCTGAACAAAAACATTTCAAGTACATGTATATATTTCTGGCTTACTTTCACTATTTCAAGTGGCAAATGGTTGACGCATTAGTTGCCGTTGTTTTCATGCCCAGGTCATGACGATCCCAAGTGACCCATGTATGTGCCAACCATATCAATTCCACTTTGCCTGTTAAACATCCTGCCCAGCTTATTTACTCATACAAATACCTCTCAAATTACAAGTTGTTACAGCAACGGAAGCATTGTTCAGGAGAGACTACCGGTACCATCTACCACAGAGCAGTTATCAGTCGAAACAATCAGAATAGTCACATTGGCAAACAATTAAGATTAATTGTTCTTAGATTGGAAGTGCCAATTTATTGCCAGAATCAGATGTTGACATCACTGGCCCTAACATCTTGGTTTTTTTGCCAGTTTTCCCGCAACCTTCAAAATTCTTCACATTGAGGAATCAAACCCCCCTTTTTTTGGTTCATCTGTCAAGCCCCTTGTTTTGGTATTCTCTCAAGGGAGAAAAAAATCTTCACATGCACTTTTTTGAAAACAGAACAGACTTTGGAAAGATTTTTATACAGACTCTGCATGTACAGACCTACATGTATACAATGTGTCATACCTTGACATTGTAGACAACATGGCCATTTGTTAACGATGATGGTGGATGAACCCATCTTTTTCCTGGACAAGTAAACAAAAAGATACCGTAATGATTCAGATTCCATGACTACAGCAAAAGATATTATTAAGCCTAATGACCAGCATATACATTCAGGTTAGGATTTTTTTTAAATTTAGATGAAGGTTTATATATATTACTTAAGTTTACCCTCATACATGTACAATGTACATGGATGTAGGCAGTTTACTTTGAAACCTTCACGATGCTGCCTAAGCTGAACCAGTAGTTACCAACAAAATGCAACCATGTCTGTGTCGGATATTCCAGACTTCTCCATTACCAATTTTTAATTGGTGATGGAGGCGTTGTCCAGGACAATTTACTCTGGTTGGCAGTACCAAATTCAATGTGCTCCAATCATGAACTCATGATTCTAGACAAATCAAGGAAAATCTAGTCGGTGGAGTCCACCACGAGTCTAGTCACGAGGGTCATTTCAGTTGTAACAATAACAGAGTAATGCTTTTGTCGCGGTTTATCCTACATTTACCCAAGATCAGATCTACCTCAAAGATGCAGTGCAATTGATGTTTCAGTTTCCTTTTCAATGGTGACTCATTTTTGTTACGAACACGGCAACACGGCAATAACTCAAAGAGAATTCCTTTCTCAAAAATGTTCTCAATGAACAAATTATGGGTTCATGATTTGTACAGAAAACATGCACAGCAATCAGTGCCTTTCCTGAATGACAATACAGCAATTCATATCCCTTATGCGGTGGAACTTCCACTGTTTGTGTTCAGGGAAATTTCACTGTTGTCACTGCACATTAACACCAAAGCTTTCTGCAGACAGAATGTAGACTTTGGATCACTATGCGGTTAAACTGTGGGGCAGATAAATGGTCAAACACCTATCTCAACCTGGTTTTGGAATGATGGGTCAAAAATGATTCCATCAGACCGCACTAACACTGTAACACTTTGAGTTGTAACATTTGCCGCAACTCTCTTTGCCAGAAAAAGTGACTCCCACATATTTGGTTTGGTAATATCCATTTTGCTGGCGTTTTCGGTTGGTTTATATGCAATGAACTTCCATGCACCAAAGATTTCTGAGATCCATGTACAGGGAACCATTACTCCCCTTTCCATACCTGTCTGTTTGGCAGAGCTTTTCTTATTCATCATCACTCTTGTTCCCGACGCTGAATTTTTCAGGCTCTCCAAGAAGGTCTATATACATGAATAGTCAAATCAGCATCTGGATCAAGAAGAAAACAGAATAATAACGATTGATCAGAATCAAACCAATCACCAGATTTTTTCAAAATTACAAACATTCTGAATGCTATATTTAGAAACCTTTTGTACTTCTCTGTCTGTTATAACCATGTGTGACTCTAAGAGATCTGAAATCTGCAACAGATTAATCAGAGATGCTGAATGCATAATAGTATTTATTCATGAGTCAGCCGTATTTAATTAAAAGTGAGATAAATCTTCATTTTGGGAACCTGGGAGTAAAAATAAAAGCAATTAAATTAACAAGTTCATTGCAAACTAATGACAGTTTACACTGATGAACAGTGAAAAATGAAAATTTGTGATTAAAAAAAATGAAAGTACAGTAAGGCTTGGAAAGCAGAAATAATCTGGCACCACCCCATTTAAAAGATAATACTGAATAAGACAGATTGCGGGAACATGATTAAAAATGGCTTCACTACAAATGAGGTTTACTCCACACCCCTTGCCCTTTGGCATTTTGACTGGGAGTCTTCCTAAACCCTCCAAAATCTACCACTCTGCAGAACCTCAAAAGACATTTTCTATGGCCTGGTAAAGAGCCTTCTGTTGTAGTCAAACCCAAATAATTTTCAGCATATTTGTTTAAAAAGATCTGAGTAACTCTTCATTATTCCTTTGCAGACCACTGTGGGAATAACAGTGCAACCAAGGTTAATCTAATGTCAACAAGTCTGCACTTCATTAAAGAGCGAGAGAAAAAATGTAAATTCATTTCAAGTGAAACTGGAGAAAAGGATACCGAATACAGAATGAAATTGGTCAACTCCTTGGTTAGTGTACAAATTGCTTAGTTTATATGCAAATTCTTAGCATAACTACACACATGTGCACCGTAACACTATTCTCCAATTATGGGCTGAACAGAAGTCTGTCCTGGGCCAATTGCACTTGATACAATGTCTGAACGGACCATGCAACACTTGTGATGAATTATTACACATGTTCACATCTGATAGCATTTTGGATTGTCTGAAAAAAATAGAAGGAAATAAACATTCTAGAATATCCGAATAACTGCCTGTGCAAGGTAAGACTAAAATGCTGGAAATCTTGTCATGGAAAAAGCAATCCACCATCATGACTCATGACTAAAATGCTCCACTATTTGTGACTAAGTCGGTAAAAAAAAAAATCATAAGGCAATTTTTTCCCCAGATTCCCTTTAAGGCCTGTTACTCAAACATGGCTCTGGCAATTGCGACTTCATTTCATGGAGGGGGTCTCACAGGTACATGTATTGGGTAAGTCCATTTTCAATAAACAAGGAAGTACTGGGCTTTGGTTGCCATTGACCTTTTGTATGGAACAATATGAAGTCACTGCACTGTACATGTTCTACATGTAGACATAGTCCAAGTTGTGACAAAGTCATGTAAAAAATGAGCAAGCACAACTCCTCAATAAAGTTCTCTTCTTATGAACTTCTCCCCTCTCTCCTGGTCAATTTATCCAATGAAAGCAAGTTTACATGTACATTGATTAACAACTTATGAAATTCAGTCTATACACCTAGTCTTAAGACTTGCATTTGAACTTTGGTTCATGAACTAAGATGGGCTGGGGATGTCCCTGTCCCTGAATCAGACCTTCCAGCTGCAATGACCCTTATGCTGAAATGTATGTATACAGCACTGTTTATCCACTTAAACCCACAACACCAACTTTAACTGGGTTACATGTATATCAAATAGATCAGTTATCTGTGGTCAGGTTACATTCACAGCCTCAGAAAACCTGCAACTGGATTTCCATGATTCTAATATCCCTTTCAATGAAGCCTAATACGAGTACATTACATGTACATGTAGCACTGTTTATTTGATAGCATTGGGACCTTGGAAATGTATGTCGAGTAAAACCAGGTTTACAAGTTCAAAGTATCGGTGTACCCATACAGGCTTACATAGCACTGCCCCTTTAACGGGAACCATGCTCTCCTCATACAACACTGCACTGCCAAAACAGGCACTTTGTCCTCTCAGCTACATGTACACATGTACCAAGGTCATCCAACCCAGCAAAAAAGCATTCTCTGGAGGCAGATTCATTGACCCTGAGACAGCACCATAGAAACTGCACCAATTCCTTCCCTGTTCTAAGACCACAACATCTATAAATGTACATTAGGTCAACCTCTGCAGCCTGGACCAGGTCAAGCCCATGTGGGTGTCAGGTTCGGAGCTGCCCTGCAAAGGTCAAAGGCCTCTTGTGGGATCAGCCCGAACAGTCAGGTTTCTAAGGTTTGCATGTGTACACTGAGATCAATGCACAAGAATGACTGTGTTGCTTTTCAATTCAAAACAGTATTTGATGATGGCGATAGGTACAATAACATGTTTACTCTTCTTTTTCCAGTGCATGTACCGGTACATGTACCTTCAGCCATGAATAAATTCCCTGCTTAATTTAAATGAAGTGTTACCCTCCTCTGGCACACCAGTGATCCTCATTAAGGCTGCTTCAACTGAGAAAAATCCAGATGTTAAATCATTTATTTTGCTGACACCAAGCAGTGGTGAATTGGATTGAGAGCCGCACTTTAAAAAATAAATCCTGAAGGTTATTCACCATGCCAATTCATAATCAGTTAACCGACCCTTAAGCTGTGCACTGCACCAACCTTTGCCAGTTACTTTTTAAGCTTGAAGGGAAAACATGTTGTCAAATTCAGGCTGACAATCCTGGGCTCTCTCCAGTATATATCTCCAGTATATATTACTAACATGTACATACATGTACATGTATAATAGGCAGGAAGTATGTGTGGGAAAACATTTTTACAAAGGGATGGGCATATTGAATTGAACAAAAAGTGGACTCATATTTTTTTCATTTTTTGTAGTTTCAGTTAAACAGTGACCAATCTGTGTAGGGGTTAGATGATCCATGTTTGGTAAACTGAAGATATTTTGAGATCTGAACATTCTCACGGTGAAAGGTAGAGCATGCTGCCAAAAAACACTGCCTCTGTATACCGGTACATCGGTTCTTTTCACATCACAACCCTACTTGCTCACAAAATGGATATTTCTTCCTTGGGCGTCACCGCAAGCTGTTCCACAAAGAGATCTTTCATTTCTCTTGCAGAAGATTCGGTGAGATTCGGCAGGCTTTAGAACTTGTGGCACCGAATTTTGCTGGGACCGGAAGGATACATGCAAAATGCATGTGGACAGATCAAGTGTCAAGAAGTCTGCCCTAGTAAGCAGGTTATGGGTTTCAGTTCCACCTGATTAAGCTTGAAATTTTTCCCAGGGTCTTCCGACAATTGAGTTTAAATTAACATATGTACATGTATCTGTTCATGTAAAATACATGCAACTGTTGTGTGATTAGAGTTATGTAACAGTACCTACATATTCAAGCAGTTCTATTTAACCCATGCTTACCTACATCATACATGTACTGGTATACCTTTTAAAACTGAGCAATATTTGCTTACATGAAACAGCATACTGTACACGTAACACAGCAAAAGGTGACATGATAAAAGTACATGAAATGAAAATGTTCCAGCTTACAGTGATGCCCTCAACGATAATGATACCGAACGTGATATTGCAAAGAGTGATGCAAAAAAAACATAATTCTGTTGGTTCATCATAATTACTGAAACTAGAAACTATACCCACTTTTTTTTTTTAATTGACAATCATGAACTGGCCGAGAAGGTCAAAGAATACCAACATTGGGATTGCATAGTGTTCCGATTGAATTGGAACTTTTCTGGTTATTTGAGTTTCAAGGCTTAAAATTCGGAATGTTCTTATTTCTGTAAAAAGGGAAAAATTTTTTTTTTAAATGGGAGGGGAACCATTTGTCAAAATGGCAGTTGTTACCACATAAACGCATAGATCACCATATCACTTTCAGAACTACACAAGCATTTCATTATCGCACGGTGCCCAACTAAAAATCAAAACTATGGGCAAATTCACCCCTCGGCAGGGAATTTTGAATGCACAGTAGAAGAATTCCCATCACAAAATTCTATAAAGGATTAAAGCTACATGTATTTCCGTTACACGTACACGTACAGGTACATGCTTAATTTGGCCCATTCAAAACAGAGGAGAAACAGGAATGTGGCATGTAAATTCACAATGACAAGAGAAAATTTTTGAAATCCCTTGCCCTAAGGCAGGGCAAATATGCCTGTGACAGGTACTAAGAAGAAAGAGTAATGTTTATGTATCCTCATGCAGAGTTCTAGCCCAGCTACCTGTACACCGTAACTCTATAGGGAAAAATACTCTGGTAAGCCAAGAACATACACGTACATAATGTGCAGTAGTTGGCAGGCCTTGGCCATCTGTTTTGATGATGGGAGTTGGGAAAGAATTCTATTCGAATGGGCTTGTTGACAGTTAAAGAATGACATCAGAAAGAAGTAAATCAATTACAAGTCAACTCATGTTTATAAAGTGTTTAACCCTGACCATGCTCTATCCAACAAAGATTTCACAAATAAAAACTTTGTCCAGTGGGTTGGGGCTTCAAGTGTCTCAGGGCACTGAAAAAAATCATAATTCCAAAGGAAGGACCCTTGTACGTGCACATGTAGGATTGTATTTTCAAGAATAACAGGTTCGAGTCAGCAGCAAAAATGCAAAAACAGACTTCAATACCATCTTGTTTTTCAGTTTTCTTTGTTATGTAAAAAAAAAAAAGAAATGATGGCCAGGTTTCCCTGTGAGTTACTAACAATGCCACTTTCCGTGGCTGCCTGGAAGGGCAATTTTTTCCCAGGCAAGGTTAGGGGCATTATAATAAAATGGGTGTATCTTAACCGTGCCTGTGCATTTTTCATCAAGGAAGGTTGGGGGCAATTATCTTAAATGGGGTACACAAACTTTTAAGCATAAGATACAACAAAATTGCCCTTTTGGCAGACTTGCAAGGTAGCTCTGTTAGAAGAGCGTTATACTTAGAACCAACAAGCTCGGGGTTTGAGTCTGTATGTAGTAATTTTTCTTGGTAAGGAATTGGTTTGTAGGAGGATGTTTTTATTATAGTTAAGTAAAGCCTGACATTTACCTTAGCACTTAAGTGTCCACTAACCTGATAGAGCTTGCAGTTAACCATGCCCGCATAGGATAATTACCCCTAACTTTCCTAGGAAAAAATTACACCGGACGGACCTTTATAAGCCTAGCAGAGACCCCATGAACCCTGAACCAAAACTCCTTCCTAAAGTTGATACCATCTACCCTTACTGTGCTGCACACTTCAGAGAACTACGTACTTCCAGAAATGTAACGTTTTAGCAAATCTTACAGACAGTGATGCACAACTTGCTATCAGTTTCAGCTATTGCGATTAGTATGCCAACTTACTCTGTCCTCACAAATATTTATGCAGCAAGATTTCATACATCCTATCCAGATGAGGTTAGATGTCTGCTGGGAAGGTTTAATCACCTTTTATATCAAAAAAATGGAGGAAGTTATTATGTATTTTGCCCATCTACACCATAGAAATTCAAAAGCAGGTACCCTCTCATTGTCAGCAGCATGATAGCAATATTAGAACAACTCCCAAACTTTTTTTGTTTTCCTGTTACCAGCAAATGAAAGCTGTACTATGATTGGCTGGAGAAATTGCAAAAAAAGACCCCTGAAATGACTGGTTACATGGGTACAAGGTAAAAATCCCATGAGAAGAGTGTGACAGTTTGACCTTTACCTGGCTACGAGACTGATAATATGGGACGGCCTAACTGCATCTATTCCAGTTGACCAATCAAGATGAATAAACCTCTCCGGCTGACACCTGTCCTCATCAAGAAGGATGTATGAGTTGCATAAAACCTTGTACTGCAAATATTTGTGTCAGCAGAGCAAATTGGCACAATCAAACATATCAAACATGTCAAAATAGCCAAAACTTGGAGAGTGACTCTTGTAAACGTAGTGTATGTAGGCATACACCATCTCTTAAAGTAAGGAAAACTAAAAACTTACAGTTAGGTTGGGATAGAAAACCAAGAAATGTTTGATTAGGCCTATATTATACAGCATGTGAACAGCACCTTTGACATGTTTGAGAGTGATTTACAACCCAAGCTGTCCTATATTAACATGCCCAGTGGCAGCAGTGTTATTTACTGATGACGATAACGGAGGCAGGCATGAACAAGGCCAAGCAAAGCTACAAAACTAGGCCTACATAAACAGGCCTGGTACAAAGCCAACTCGACATCTTCATGACATCGACAACTCGATGGCCAAGGCAGCCCAACCACTGACCACGTTATGGTCAAAACCATCAATCTTAATCATCCACAAAATGTCCCCAATTTCCGAAGAAAATCTGTGTAATTTCCGCAGGATACAGTACCTGTACTGTAGCTTCTGCCAGTTTGGACTTCCTGCACCGGATCTGAACATGCGTCAAACGTTTATTGATACAAACATGTTACGACGACATCCGGATCCGAGCACGAATAGCACACGCCTCCACCTACACTGACATGAACCCCAGCAGAGCTAGAGCTACTTGACCCAAACGCAAACCACATTGCACATTGAGTCAAGTGCGCGTAGTCTTGGCCCCCAGACCCTGGTGCTCGATAAGAGATCACGAAAAGCGCGCCCTCTAACGACCCCACGCATAAATGACAGAAAGTAAAATACTGTATACGGCAGTTTTCGCTCGTTACCCAGCATCCGAACAGGCGACGCGTGACACGCTGGCACGTTAGCCATCATCAGTATTTCACACTTGGGATATCATAATCATGGCCAACAACGTGGGCGCCCTTTACGATTATTAGTAAAAAAAAATCAAACAAAAATAATACATACAGTGTATATGACTAAACTAATACATATATATAGAGAGAGAGAACGAAAGTTAATTAAATATATATATAAAAACGAAAATTCAAGAACTTCAATCAGCACGCATGCTCCCTTATCGTATTCAACCCAGAACTGGTGCAGTAACAGGCCCATAAAATACTTTGTAAATGTTACTATTATTTTCATATTTATTTAAGCGTTCTATTATAATTATTATAAAAGACGAAACTGGCAGAGTGAGAAAAGTATAAGAGCTACAAGTTGCCATCCGGCAACCTACACAAACCTGAAGCGTCAAGTACATCGCACCATCCAAACGGTACAACTGTACTCGGTAAGAAGCATGCAGCGTTGGTTCTGGTGCAGTATCTTTTCCGCCGTAGACTATGCAGATGCAAAGTAGATGATAGATCTAGAGATGTGCCTCCAACGGGCACACAAGGCACATCTGGAATAGAAATGTATAATGGACGGGACGGATTGGACAATATCTTATACAGCATATAGAGTTTGCTGACACTTCGACAGCGACTCGGTTGTACAAAACCCTGCCGCCAGAAAGAAAATTGGTAGTTCGAGAAACTCTGTCAATGAGATGGTGAGATCGAGCAGCAGATGACCAAACAGGGGCACAATTATAGTCCAAATGAGAAAGGTCAAAATATCGGAAACAAGTCGCATAAATAGTTGTGCCGCCAAACAACTTGTAAGCTTTCCTCAAAATCCCAAGCTTACAAGAAGCACGACCAACACTTTTTTGGCCTGAGTCACCGTATTAGACGGGACGGGTTGCCGGTGAAAAAAGGGGATGCAAAAAGGCTGAGCAAGAGATGCGGATTTGTTGGCCCGAGTCACCGTGGCAAACGGGGCTGATTGCCAGTGAAAAAAGGGGATGCGAGTAGACTGAGAAGGGGATGCGAATTCGTTGGCGTGAGTCACCGTGTTAGACGTTGAAGTTGACGAATGTGGCGCTCAAAATTTAACTTTGGATCAAACTTAACTCCTAAAATGTCAAGATCACCACACTCGTCAAGTGCTGAACTGCCAGTAAGCAAAGTCCCGTGTGCAGGAAGGCAGTGCTGGATCGCGAAACGCACAGAGTTTTCGGACTTGGACGCGTTCAATTTCATGTTTCACTTATCACACCAGGCTGCGACGGAGACCATTAAGTGACTCACAGACAGCGCCTGTATCGAACTCTCTAAATGTCTAATATACATGTAGAATATCACGAGAGAATAACCTGCTTATCTCGGCAGACGAATTTTTGGCTTGTATTAACGTAGGTGCAAGTTTACAAAAGGGATAGGGTCATGCCATGTGGAAGGGCAAATTGCATCCTCAGGGGTGGTACGATGGGGATGTGACCGCGGATGTTTGAATCGATCGTTTTACATAGATTTGTACTGAAGATCGGAGCTCGAGTGGCATTTCATCCTTGTTTTTATCAGTTTTAAATTTGTTTTTAATGGCGACATTTTCACTTTTTAAACATCGCAAACTGGACGAAGCCGGGTTGGCCGACAAGGCCGAGTGTCAACAGACACGTGATCACGTAATCATGGCATGTGCACAGACACTGCAGGTGTTTAATTTTTACTGGGCGTCGGAGCTCAAGTGGCGTGTTATCATTTATATAATTGTATCCTTTATTATTCATTTTTAATGCCGGCATATTAAATTTTCCAACGTTGCGAACTGTGGAGGAGGCTTGGAAGCTGCAGGGCTGGGCTGACAAGGCTGAGTGAGTGTCAACAGATACACGATCATGCATGGGTATATTACCGACAGGCAAAATGTTTGGCTGAAGCAGGCCTGACGTAATGGCATGCGCAAACGTAGGTGTTTAAATCGATGGTTTTACATGTTTTTTTTTTTTTTTACTGAGCGTAGGAGCTAAAGTGGCGTTCTACCAATATCATATTTTATCCTTTTTCAATTTATTTTTTATGCCGGCATTTTAACCTTTTAAACGTTACAGACTGTGAAGGAAGCTCGCCTTGGCTGACAGGGCCGAGTGAATGTCAACAGACATCCGATCATGAGGAATCGGACAGGCAAATGTTTGGCTAACGCTGGCCCAACATGATGGCATGCACAGATACATTGATGAGAATTAACGTCAAGGATCCAAGTTGTAATGGTAGGCCTACCCGGTTGTTGGTAGGAGGGACGGTGGTAATGTTGAGATGCTTGGTTTCAAGATTGCCGAGGTCCACGTCTGTACTCTTGCTCATTCTTCTTGCCCTGCCCTTGCCATTTCTTGCCCGTGCCCCTTCTTGCCTACGTGCTATCTTGCCATTGCATGTTGTTTCTTTGCCTCTTCTTGACATGCCACGTTCTTGCCAAAGATTGCTCAAATCTTGCCATTTCATGCGTGTTTTTCAGGCCCGTAGGCTGGTGGGGGGCTTCGAACGAACCTCCCCTTCGCTTCCGAGTTCCGCTCTTTCTCTTTTATTAAATATATAATTGTAATTTACCGTAATTTTCGGAATATAAGCCGCAGTTTATACATTGATTTTCACGCGGAAAATGTCTCTGCGGTTTATAATGAACTGTGGGCGGTTTGTACGGCAACATTTAAGAATGAAATCAGTCATTAAACGCTGCGCCATGCCTGCAGCGCAGCCGGTCCCCGGGCCGCCGCCGCCGGCCAGCCACGCGTACCAGCGGCGCAGCGTTCCGGGCACAGGGACAAGGCAGTCATGTTTTCATTGGTTACCGTTCACATTGGCTCTACTCACGTGTTGGAAATGAAAGAAACCAGTCCAGAAAGACTGAATAGACTTGTAAATGCACCGTAAGTACTGCTCACACCTCACAAAGTGGCGCAGACCATATGGGCACTTCGAATTTTCGCTTCGAACGTCTGTGTATGGAGCAATATTTTACCTCCAGTTTCACAAAAGGTGAAATTTAATCAGACTCCAAATATTCTGATTCATAAATGTTGATTTCATATAACCACTACAAAGTTCCAATGACATATTAATTAGGTCCGATTTTATTTCCGAAGTGCAAAATGAAATGCGCCTCAAAATTTTTTTTTTTACATTTTTAGTTGAGTATTTAGTTTAGGTCAGTGGAGGTAATTATGATTTACTAGAATTTATCACTTTTTTAGAACTTCTGAATTATTTTTTTTTCTGATTTTTTTAAATAATTATAGTCATACCATTCACTCGTCACTCAGCGCCAAATTCAAGGTCCTGAGTGAAGAGCAAATTCATATAACAGGCCAATTTACAACACGCCGTGAATATTGAAAACTGAAGTAGGGGGACTTTGCAAGTCTATACATGCGTCCTTCGGTTCACGACAAACATGGAACTTTGATTTTGTGTTCCAGAGCACAATATGATAGGCCTTTGTATAAAAATATGTGTTCACAGTACCAAAAGTTCCACTTTTGGGTTTAACCCCCTCCCCCCGTCTTTGGTCAGACAACGGGCCTGTTTTTGCCATGTCATGTTCTTGCCGAAGAACGCTCAAATCTTGCCATTTTTATGCCCATTCTACCACGTCTCGTCCTTTAGATTGCTCAAATCTTGGCACTCATGCCTGTTTCGCCACATTGCTATATTCCTGCCAAGAAATACCCAAATTTTGCCATTTTGTGCATGCTTTTGCCATATTGCCGGTTTCATACGTTGTCATGCACTGTCTGTTCTTGCCATATTAAAATGTTCTCGTCATTCTTGTCATTGTGTCTATATTCTTGAAATGCATGTATTGCCTATATCAATACATGTCTTGCATGTTGGCAGTGGGCATATGTGATATTCTCCATACTGTTCCAGGATATCATTCACACTGTCATAAGAGTTCCTGGAGGCTATTGAAGAATTGAGGCAGCGGGCACCCCTCAAAGGAACATATTCAAATGTTGAGGATTTTGGAGGATAAAGGCCGAATACATTTGTTTGCATGGATAATTGGAGGATTTTGAAGGATTGAGGATGATATAGCATAAAGGCCAAGCAAGGAAGTGAGGGTTAACATATACGCAAGACAAAGCTTGTCAGGTACGGCAGTGGATTGGTAGATAGAGGATGCTTGCTCAGACAAGAAGGATGCATGAGACATGGAAAAGAAAAAAATGCAACATATGGAGGTACAGTTTCACTAATCCGCAGGGCATGGAAGCAGGAGTGGGGGGATGCCAAAGATCCTCCAGACATGCAGTGTCGCTGGTGCCCTGCAAGGTTGGACCGTGTACCGTGCAATTTAAGGGCCCGGGCCCCGCCGGGTTCTTCGCAGGTCCGCAACACCTTCAGGTGATGAATAGGCAACACTGTGTCCAGCCAACCGTCGACACGCCCCTCTCCTGCATATGTACATCAAGAGTCATAGTTACAATGAAGAGATAAATATGGGTTTTCCAGGCCAATTCCAGCAAAAAATCGTTCAGTTTAACATAGGGCCCATTCAATTTCGTTTTAAAAAAAATGATCCTTCACACGAGCTTCATTCAATAATAAACAGCAGGCAATCGATATCGCAATGGAGCATTCTTCACGGAAATACGTTCATTCAACTTCCAAAGGTTGTTTCGTTCATTCACATTCGCCAAAGGCCTAGAAAGAGTCAATAAGTAAGTAATTAGTCAATAAGTAATCTAGTTTCTCTTTTGTCAATTCAAATTTGTTCCAGTGATAAGGACTTTTGGGATATATAAATCTGATTTTCAAGGAAATTCAGGTTTAACGATGGATCGTGATTTGTCAACGCGACTTTGTGCCCAAAAAATGTGGGTTCTTACAAAAGAGTGAGGTTCACAGAAAGAGAAAACTGGTTAAAACTTGTTAGGGTAATTACGCAGAGAAAGGCCTTTTAGTGTTTTAGTGTTAATCCTGAAGTTTCCCCTGAATTTTTGTTAACTTTATAGGCACTTTTGGAACTGCATCAGTGCTAATAGGAAACACACACACACAAAACGCATCAGTGCACGCCAAAAGAGCAAAACAAAACCTTTCTTATTTAACTCAAGAAAACAGGAGTAGATACAAACACAGAATAAAGGATACCAAGGAATCATTCACAACCATCAAAAATGATTAAGGAACAAGCTGAGCATCATACACATGCACAATGACTTGCAGTAGAAGACCAACGGCATTAATATTCCTAAATTGAACACTCTGAACGCTAAAGAGATTTACTGTAAACGAAAAAGAAAATCACGCGCAGGTAAAAGAACCCGTACGCGTCGCTTAGTTTTAATTTGACTGCACTTATTGGAAAAAAGTGGCAGAGATTACGCTGAAGAATGGTGATAGTGTAGTTTTGTCTGCCCATAAACGAAATGGAATGATGGGAACAAAACTGAACGGCAAAGCTAACAAACTGTGCCCACGAAAACGAATTTGAGTATCAGAAAAAAGAAAAAGAAACCCCCATACAAACAAAACCGTAGCATCAGTGCAAAAATGAATAGGTAATGACGAAGATTAGTGGAGTTTGCTGAAATTGGCCGGGAAAACCTATTTACGAGTTGTGGATGTACTTGGGGATTTGACGGCAAAGCTGTGTTTGCCCCAGTAAATGAATGAGGGTCATTTGAGTATCTGTTAAACTGAGCACCTTTTGTGTTTTCTTCCACTTAAGCATGAAAAGGTCAACATCCTTAGTAGCATATACTACATGTACATGAATCACAGGTCAGGGTATTTGCCTGTTTTATGGAGGCAAGTATTGAAGACCTTTGCAGAAAATTAAGCGAAGTCTATGTAGAAGGGTTTCTTGTGGGTGATAAATAAAATGTATATGTTCAGTTTTTATTTTTGGATTTCAACAATGTGATTTCGCTGCACTTGAGTGAAAGGTGGAAACACCAAACAAACGGGCCCTGTGCATCATATACGGCAGTAAATCAAAATTCTACAGAGAACAAGGTTTTGGGCCACAAACAGCAGACGAAGTGAATAACCAGCAGTTACCAAGACGGGGGTTGGGGAACCATCATTGCAATTCAGAGAAAGTAAAGTGCATGTGATTTAACACTCCAAAGTCAAAGTGCGTATGAAATTTTTACAATCAGAAGAAATCACCCGATTCTTACAAAAATATGAAGGCCCGATGTACATAAGAAATAAACAGGATACCGGGTTGCTCTGTTAGCCGAAGAGTGCAGGACAGGTAGTCAGGCCTGCGGTCGTACGTCGCTACTTGCGTCCGATTGGTTTGCTGATGGGGTGTGGCTGGCCGACTTGGCGGGTATCAGGGCTTGAACTTAGGCAGGGACTTGCACTGGACATAGATAAGTTGTTGCAGTCACGCTCGAACAGTCGTGATGTTGGCTGAAACCGCAATGCCTCACTGAAGTGAAGTGCCCAGGGTGTATGACCACACCCAAGCAGAATGCCCATGTAGGTTCGAATGCGGCAGCTTGGCCTTCAGCGACATCAGCAGTCCACAGGCCCAGAGTAGTTTGGCTAACAAAGGCCTTGACATGGGAGGGTCTACCCAATTTATAATGTACTAATACATACCATTTGTTCACTCAACTTGGCTCGATACAAAGGAAATAGTTTCAGGGATTTTTTGGCCCTGGCAAGGGGCTGACGCTGGCCCAGCCAGGCTAGGAGTGAGGAATTTCAATCCCCGACTGTAACAATAGTTATTTTCAATTTGTCACAAACGGTGCTGGTACATGTATGGCAACGGCACATTTATTGCCTTGTACCAAAAATGTGTCATGCATGTTTGGAGCTTCCAGAGGGTTGTACTAAAACCAACCAATTTTAATGAAACCAGGTTGTTGTCATGAAATGTAATAATTGGCAAACTCCGCAATCTGCAATTCTGTATGCACTGGACTATGCAAGACTATGTAAAATCACTTCTCAGGTATGGTTTGCTCTCTCAAATAGATTTAATTACGGTCAACGAGGTTTCCCCTGAAGAAACATTTTTATTTCCAAACTAATTTGGAGGGATCAAGTCAACACGAAACAATTGTGTGCTAATCTGCTCCTATGCACTCTATCCTTCGGCTGAAACAATTTCACTTTTGAGAAAAGCAAGATGTGGTACAATGTACGCTGTACTGACTCATGAGAGTCATTCGAATTTCGAACAATATTTGCACTCTATTTCTTAATTCAATTTCATATGTTGCAATGTACAGAGGGATATTTGCTACCACAGCAGGCTGTGCACAGATTTCTTGGACTTTGTGCCTCTTCAAAACAAATGGGGCGGTGACTTGGGGAATGTGTGGTGGCTTAGCCCCTCACCTGTCCGTAAGATGTAGACTGGGCCACGTATACAAACAAGATCAAATATATTGCGTTCGTTCCTCCCTCCTTTCACCAAGAACTACGTGGGCCTACTGACGGTTAGTTCCCATCAGTTTGCTACGCATCATCTCGCCTGACGTTTACGTCAGCCAAAATTTAGATTTGCGTCAACAACCTTCATGATCATGACAACATAGCATAGGCCCACTGCATTTCTATTGACACACAATCAGCCTTGTCTGCTAGGCCCCATACTTCCACATGCAGTAAAACAATTCAAAGTACGCATCCCGTAATTTACACTGACGCATAAAATGGTGCTTGTCCCCATGGTATCCGCCGAGAAGGGAAGGGGCACATTCAAAAAAATACGTAAGAAATACGTGTGCGTAAGGCATTGTGGGTAACTTGGTAAAATCACTGCACACGTTGTGCACGTGGAAATTTTGACGCGCGTTATTTCAACCTACTTGGCTCGATAAAAATGTCACAGGTCAAGTGAGCAATACGCGATCTGCATTATATGAAAAGTGCGATGGGAACCAGCGAATTCTTTTGCAAACGGTCGGTTTGTGCATGTACTTGTTCCCAGGATCATTGAGGTGAGTTGTTATGTTCAACGTGGGTTTCGCCGTTTTCAACGAGGTACGGTCACCGTCTTTAATGGTGCCTTGTATGTGTACGGAATTCGCTCGATCGTTGCCCAGTGCCCGGCTGATGGTACGGAGGCGTAAATAGGACATCACTGAAAAAACGTTGTGCCTGCTATTTCGCCCGGGCGAAATACTAATCCGCCCGGGCAAAATACTAATCCACCCGGGCAAAATACTAATCCGCCCGGGCGAAATACTAATCTGCCAGGCGAAATACTAATCTGCCGGGGCGAAACAGGCGAAATATATCCTGGATACGCTTCCGTACTTAACGATTTATTTCAAATCTTTGGTTATCTTGATCAATTTGAATGAATTATGAAAGAATAAAGTGTAGTGAGAATGTTTTCAGCAACGAGGAAGAAACAGAAAAATATTGAATTGATGACCGCCGCTTTTGTAACTCATTAAGCTCGCACGCCTGGCAGATATTTACCTGTAATACCCTGTGCGTTGTTAGCTGTGCATGTGACCCCGTATTTCCTTCACAAAAATCTTTGCAATTAATGCCATCAGCCCTTCCGCTGGGCTCCGACTACAAGCACCCCCCCCCACATCGTTGTCCCAACTGTTGGTGGCGCCCTTTCGTTTTTGTAATTCACCAAAGTCTTAAACCCAGAGTGATAATTACGCATAGTGAAGCAATATTTCCGTTTGGCTGCTGACTACAGCTAGCCATGCTCGAATAGATCATGCGTCGTGATTCGTATAAATGAATATCACTGATGCAAAGCCGGTTATTCACAAAAGCACTTTCAATTCCCTAACTAAAAATGCCCGGCATTCCGAAAGGATTGTTACGATTGTGTCGGCTGGGGGGGAAAGGGGGTCGAGGGCCGACAGTTAATCTGCGTAACAGTCAAAAGGCAAGTCATGAATCTGAGGCGACAAAAGATTTGGCCAACGGGGCAGCAGCTAGTTTTATGCTGGATAGAGCTGCAAAACAGGACTCGAACAGTGAGGCGGACGATCCATCGACGAGCGGTACATCTGCGGGCATGGCATTTTCTTGTGTTTGGCGGCCGCTAGCTTGTTTTGAGAGACAGCACAATGGTAACTACGTAAAAGAGAAAAATGCAGCATCGTGACACCTGTCAGTCATTACATTTACACATGTACTTACTACACCTGTCTGCCTGTACAAGCCTACAAGTACAACTACTAGCCCAACACGAAGGGCTGTGGTGGCTCTCTTTTACAATCTGTCTCTTATCTGTTGCCACCACAGCCCTACTTCGAGGCATGTCTTTAATGCCTGAATTTCAAATTTGAATCCTAATATCGTCGGAAATGAAAATAACTCGACAATTTTACTTACACTGGCGCATTCCTCAGAGTTTGGACTTTTATACAAGCACCCTAAGCCCTCCCAAACCGTATAGTTTTTGATGAATCGCACCTTGAAAACTGGGCCTATAATATTTATATGCTGACCATGGGTGGTGGCCTTTGAAAAAGCGAATGCAGCACTTCTTTCGTCGGATTTCAAGGCACACCTTGCGTGACAGAAGAACAAGGAACTGGTGAAATTAATTTGAATAACATTAATATGCATGTCACTGTATCATGCTCCACACACTTGCTGTGGCGGACTGTACACTAGCAAAGTGCATGCACAACTAAGCAATACTATGACAACATGAATTATGCATCTACAGCACCTGTCGAGTGCCTCGACTTCTGGTGCAAGAAGCGCTGCTTTCGTTTTTTAAAATGGCGCCGTTCATGGTGAGCATATAAATATCACAGGCTAGGTTTTTCAAGGCCCCATACATTGGAAAATATAGTTATAGGGTTTTTGGAAAGCTTTAGGATGCTCATATAAAAGTCCAAACTCTGAGGAATACGCCGGTGTAAGTAAAATTGTCGAGTCATTCTCATTTCAGAAGATATTAGGATTCAAAGTTTGTACAATCCTGCAGTTTGGATTTCAGGCATTTAAGACATGCCTTAAAGTAGGGCTGTGGTAGCGTCAGATAAGAGACAGATTGTAAAAGAGAGCCACTACAGCCCTATGTGTGGGGTTAGTACTTACAACATGTACAACTTTTAAGTTTATTCTCCTAAAGTCTGGAAGTTGAAACATCATCCATGATTATTCCGAGTAATTTGGACCCTACAAATCACTTTTTAAACATTTAGGCATAGTTGGGCGATAGTAGGGTCCAAGTACCTTCCATAGGCTTTTGCTTCCGTTGATTCATTTTTCTAAAAACAGCTCATACCCTGAATCAAAATCCTTTGAATTCACCTCCAAAATGATCCTTAAACTGTCTAATGCACCTGGCTTAGGATCAAGCGAGAATCAGAGATTCCAAAAATGATGATAAGGTTTAATCACATTTAGAAAGAAAAGAGAAATTACCTTTCAAAGTGGAAATGGTCTTGTAATTGAGCGCAATGTCGCCATCTTGTTCAAAAAGCAATCTGGAGACGATGTCATGGCGCGCTGGCCTAGCGGACCACTCACAAAGAGCATGGCGTGTTGGCACACAGGCACCAACAACTAATTCCTCTGCGCCTCATGTCTGGTAGCTGTGATCACATGGAAACTGACCATGTCATGTAGGATCATGTGTAACTTCCATCACACTGCTCTGTCGTACCACGTGGATTGTACACGCTCTTTGAAAAGAGCTCTTTGCATGTTAATTTGTAAAAAAACAGAAGACACCCCAGGATGAGTGTTTGAGAAAAGAAGTTGTGCATCCCAGCAGTTAACGTTATATGTCATCTGAAAACAGGGTAGCACCCTAGGTAGGGAGGAATTTTCTTTTTCTTGTTTGGGAAGCACTTTTTTATATTGATTCAGTTTTCAGCAAAGTGTTAACTAGTTAAAGATAACAACAGGAAAGGTCGAGTGCCTTTTGTTTCAAATGAAATTAACCACACTTAAAAGGACACTAGTTACGTGCATAAATAAATCCATTAAACCTGTTTGCATGAAGTTCAGACTAAAGTGGACACATTTTTTCTTTTTTAATTTCAAACTCTCAAGTTCACTCCCTTAAAAAATAGGGACACTCTGACAACGTAGGATAGGTACAAACCCTCCAAAAATAGGAAGCTCATTTTATGGCCTACTCACATTCCATCTGCATTTTGCAAAAGCTAAAGCACTCGTTAATTTTCCTTGCTTGAATTTACATACATGTAACAAACGCTCGTAAATCTGAGAACATTTTTGTACTCTTTTTCCACTCTGGCTCAAAATTAGTATGAATTACAGTCATTTATTTGCAATATCTCAAATACATGCCCAAACAGCATTTAATTTAAAGAATTCAATTTACTTTAGAAGTCCATCAAGGAAGTTAAGAGTACATTCAATCCAGTTTACTTTACTCGCCTATCAAAGAAGTTATATTTGTTGACTGGTCCACTGAAAAATTATAGAATCACAATACGTAAAACCGTAAGACATTAAAATCACATTGAACCTTGTACACATATATACATATAAATTATTCAATAGTTTATGCCAACATATTGAAAATATCTGCTTATACTTCAACAAATTGACTTTTTATTCTCTTGACAGATTTGAAGTTTGCATTGATTCTGCTAAATCAGCCCCTGACTGAGCTACGGCAACAGCTCAAACTTGTATGGAGTCGATCAGTCCTGAAGGCTGCGGCAGATGGTGGCTCAAATAGACTGTATGAGTGCATGATGGGAAATCATCAGAGGTGTGTACACGTAGTGGTTATATTCGGGCGATTATTTAGAAACGTTTTGACAGGTAGCATGGCGAAATGTAAAAACTGTGGTAATATATTAAAAATCCTTGCATTCATCGCCATAGCTACACGTATTACTCCATATACCTGTTCTTTTGTTTTTCAGTGAAAGCAGAACTTCAAACTGTAGCGTAGAGATATCCAAACTTCATTGCCTTTTTGTATTGTTACACGTAAACATCTGCAAACCCTGTGGGTGCTTTAGAAGAAAGAAATTGCAAACTGTAAACCAGCAATACATGGCTGGACATTTACAATATACTGGAGGCTGTAAGTTTGAATTCATTTTCTGTGATCAACCTACATGTAATAATGCTTTGCACGCCAACTTGTTTTTTTTAATTCCTGTTTTGCTTCTAGCTATATCCCAGATTTAGTAACGGGAGACTTTGACTCGATAAGACCAGAAGTTCTTCTTTACTATCAGAGACGGGTAAGTGTCCATTGATGGATGTACATAATAGATATGTGCCACACTTATCCAGAAAACCTACAATATTGTTATCATTCCTGCTCACCAAGCCAAGAAACGTACCTAAATCCATCTCAGCTCCCTGAGGAGTATACAGCTTGTTGCTGCTTCAGGCTCAAATGGCTCATCAAATACAAAAGTCATCTCTATCCCTCCCAGGTACCCATTCATACTTCTGGTTGGAGAGAGACAAATCAGGGTAGAGTGATTTGCATACCCTTTTCCCAGATGCTGGATTCAAATCTATGAACCTTTGATTGGGAGTTGCTTAAAGTGATAGCATGACAAAATTTGATGAAGTTCCCAGACACTCAAGGTGGTGTATTTATTCAGCCATAATGATACAGGAGAGTGGCCACCTGAGGCACGGTGTGTTAGTGCGCAGTGTACAATATAGTTCCTCGCTTAATATTACAACATTGCTAACCTAAACCACTGGGCCACCCCCCCCCAAAAAAAACCAGCAACAAAAACAACAAAATAATCTCAGCATGTGATCAATTTACCAAGGAAACCCCCAAAGTCGTAAGAGAAGCTTTGTGATCACGAGGAGTTTTGGCTGCCATCATTGGCTGCCCACATTGGCCTTGCTTCAACCCAACAAGAATCTGATAGTCACTCAATCTTGAAAGTTTCAAGTTAACCTCATTGGCAAAAACAGAAATTGAAAGTGCTATGATTCATCTTTCCAGTGTCCAGTTTTGGGAATTACAGAAAATCTTTTGTGTTTGTCACGCTGGAAATGCTGGAGATTTTCTTGTGCAAAATTTACCCTTGCTTTTACAGGGAGCAAAAATAATTGAAACCCCTGATCAGAACTACACAGATTTCACCAAGTGCCTAAGGATCGTCCTGGATACGCTAGAGTGCAATACCCTCAAGGTGAGCATGTCTAGATTCAAGTACCAGTTTTGGCACGTTCAATCGTAAGGGGCGTAAGAATAGGGTCTGCTCTAAAAGGCAACATACCACATGACTACACGGTTTCCCCAATTGCAGCAGGAGAGTGTTTGGTCAGCAACGTTATGCTGCAAAGCAAAACAGCGAGGCTTGTTTCCACACGGAATAACCAAAAAGTCTTCATCCAATTGCGTATGTGGTCACCACTTGTGCCATGTGATTGTCACTTTCATGCCGATCTGGAACTTGGTTCTGGGTCCACTGTTGTCTCCTAATGTTTGCTACTATGTTAAGTTTGAAAGGCTCGCCTGTAGCCTAAATACTCTGTGCGGCAACACGGTCTGTTGGCTGAGATTTTTTAAGGGACAGAATAAAGTCTTCACGGCTGACTGTTCTCCTTCGCCCATCTTTGCTCCAGGTTGAAGCTGTAGTGGTGCTTGGCGCCATGGGTGAGCGATTTGATCAGACCCTTGCCAGTGTGAACACGCTGTACGAGGCCAACATCAACAGTGAGCTTCCTGTGTATCTCCTTGCTGACAGATCACTGGCATGTCTACTCAGGCCGGTGAGTAAGAATGACCCTGTGCTTTGTTGCTTCTGAATTTCCACTATTTTCATCTCCTTCCTATGTGGACAAGAGATGGGGTGGTTTCTCATGGCAAAGGTGTCCCTTTGATTTGACCATAGTTGTGGGATTACACACTTGTTGAACAATAGTTAATTTTCCCTGATACTTATTAAATGGCATTCAACCTCAACATGAGAGTTAAGTACTTATGCTGAAATTGCACTAGAGTAAAATTCTGCAGTCAGTCTGCTATTCCGTACTCTTAATATTCTTGGGATTCGTGCCTTGAAAATCTCAACAGAAATTGCTTGGTGTAGTTGGGGACATTTTCTCAAGAAATTCTCAAATTTTATTCTGAATTCCTGACTAAAGAGTCTCCCAGGAAATGATTTTATCTTCCCACCATTAAAGACCTTTGTTTTGCTCTTCTGCATTTCTTCATTTGATAGGGGAAACATGTGATTGAGGTCAACACGGGCCTTGAAGGCCCTTGGTGCGGTTTGATCCCCATTGGCAACAAGTGCCGACAAGTTACTACCACCGGGCTGAAGTGGAACCTAGGTGAGAAGGCCGGCACGTGATAAAATGATTCTTCCATCTAAACGAGCCCTCCATTAAATTTCTGATGCATCACAGTTCTTTTTCACTATGCCTGTTCCATCCAACATGTCATTAAGAAAAGAACAGTGATAGTGAAAATATTTGGTATTGCGACAGCACATGCCCAAAATGAAGAGCGTTGGAGGTCATTTGGGAACAGCAGTATGCCGAACAGGTTCATGCTTGCTCGATTTGTTCTGGAATGACCTTGCCTCACTGACACTTTACACTTTACTGCAGGCTGCTTATAACCAGAAAACTTGGTTCAGAACCTTGAGAGTGTTCCACAGCTTTTACCTGGATAAAGCAATGGATGCCTTTGAAGTTGGCATGCTTGCTGACAACGTTTAAAGATGACTCTAGTCCTCCACCGACATAGGTTCGAGTATGGGTCCCAGTCTGCTGCTGAGTGGAACTTGCCACTCACAAAATCATACAGGTCTCGTTCAGAGATATAATGCATGGGTTTCCATTGTATCCACGTAACGTAGGATGTTTATTTTTTTTAATAACTTCCTATCTTAGCACTGCGAGACAGCATTTGGAATCTTAAAAAATTGTCCTGTAAATGATCGTGTGTACCTGTTAGAAAATTGTAATTTCCCATTCATGAAATCTTTGGCCTTCGAGTCTCAGTGCGTCTGTTGACTACTTTTCAGGTTCATCCAATGCATCTTTCTGCCAGCTGTCAGGTTATCGCCAAACAGTGTCCGGGGTGGTCGTTAAAGTTGTTGTTACTGTCTGCTTGTCTTTCCAGACCACCAGCCGATGCAGTTTGGAGGGCTGATCAGTACGTCCAACACTTATGCCGAGGGGACTGAGACAGTGACTGTCCAGACTGACCAGCCGCTACTCTGGACAATGGGATTCAAGGATGACTTATCTGTGCCCAATACCAAGAAGTCAGACTCCTTTTAGGCAACAATTCATATGTACCAAATTCCTGGGAGCTATTGTGCAAATTTGGCAAGCAAAGTGAGAGTGTTGCTTTGCCAAAACAGGTCTTTCATCACATGGCTGTGGTATTCTGTGTTTACATATCTTGTTTGCTGGAATTCCCAAGTTTGTGTACATTTCTTTATATTTAAAAGCCCCTTGAATTTTGGTGAAAACAAAAAAATGAAGAAAAATTAAGGAAAGAATTGTTGGGGTGACATTCTCGCGGTTGGCATGATATCATTGCAGACGTTTAACACGCGGCAAAAGGGCAAATGTACCCCTCTTGCTATTCAATAATTCTCGGATGTCCGACTGCAATAATTAAAATCATTAACAACATCCGCTATGGTCCCCGGGTTGTGGTGTAAAATGCAGGTCACTGATTTTGGCCTGGCATTCTCTGGTATGTCAGGACACTCAGGGAACATTGAAAAGTTTGCTTTGGGAAAACCTGTGGGTTAAAATTCCATTACATAATGGACGAACTTGCATAAAATTATGAAAACCTGCCTTTGAACCAAATGAAGTTTGACAAAAAACTTGTCTGCACTTTCCAGGTATGATGTTTAACCTGTTCTGGTGTTTGGAACGTTTAATTTCGTAATCACATGTCACAAATCATGCAGTGCTGTACAATCTTTTTTTCCCCTCACATTTGCTGGGTAATAGTCAGACCAGTGTGTCACACTTTGATGTAGCAACTCAAGAAAGCTATGGTAGCCTTGGTTTGTGTGCTAGAGTGGGCCTTTGGGTTGCTTTGGCATCCATTTGAAAGTCTGGGCACTTTTTTGGCATGGCACTACTCAGCCAGTGCAGTGTTTCCTTGGTCATGTTACAAACGAAAGTGATTGGGCCTCTTATTTTTTCACAGGTGACATGACCATTGAAAACTGAAATATGTTAAAATAATTAAACAAAATGCTCTAGAAGAAAAAAAGTTAATGGAAAGCATTTTTGATATATATTTTATTTTGATGGTATATAAAAAATTTCAGACAAATTTCCTGAAAACATGATATATCTCCTGCTAGACGTAAAGCACATGTTCATATTTGTCATGTCTGTATCAGAGAAAGATTTTACTAGTTTATTTTATCCTAATAGGGGATATTTTTACACAACAGGGTTGCAAGTTAAATACTTGAGTATGTTTTCCATTATGCTATTTGTTATTTTCTGTTTTAAGATCCACTTTTGAATTGTGGCACTTCAGACAGATTCAAGTGTTGTCCACAAAATAAAAATTGCTGCTTTACAACTATTAAAACCGGTCAAACAATCAGGGCCAAATTTCATTGCACTGCCAAGGACACGATTTCACACTTACAGAGGTTCCATGTATTTCATGAATACAGGAAGCAGTAAGCACGGCAAAAGGCATGCTTACCTTGGAGGAAAATTTTGCTTTAGGTAGTGACAAATCAATGGAAATCTCTCTAAGCCAACTGTTAAGCAGCCACATGAAATGGGCCCTGATGTCAACTTTACATTAAAGCTCGCTCAAACAGTCAGGTTTCCTGAATACAGTATTTGCCAAGGAGTAAGGGGTCCAATCAAAAGGAGCTGGAGTACCATGTGACTTCACATTTTCCCTGAGATAGACATGGGCAAGCTTTTTGTCAGCAAGCTCACATCATATGTTGTAAGCCAAGGGTAGGGCTCATTGTCACTGAACAGTGAATTTTTATCGACTGCCATGCCAGTCACCACTTTTACAGTTGTTGTTATTGTTCCAATCCAGTATTGGATGCTATAGCTCTCTGGTTTTGTCTGACTTCTGCCATTTGTAAAGCTTCAAAGGCTTGCCTACTGGGCCCAATTTCACGGCATTGCTAAGCACTAAAGTTTACGCTTGCAGAGACTCTTGTGTATTTCATGAAGATTGTAAGCAGTATTCACAACAAAAGGCATACTAACCTCAGAGGGTGAACTTGCTTAACTGAGTGAAGTAACAATAGAAATCTCTGCGTGCGTGCAACTGGAAGCCCAATCACGCCAAGCCATAAAATAGAGCTTAAGGTTAGCAACTTTTTCTGGAATAAGCACTTTTCTGCTGTTAAGCAACTCTGTAGAATTGGGCCCTATTAAGTGCCGTGCGTGGCACCGTGGTCTTGCCTCATAACAGTGACAGTGCACACCAGATCGTGTGTCATTGAGAGCGCCCTGTATTTGTCCCATGAAATGGGTCTGTTAACCTGTGACTGATATATATATATATATAAACTTTATGTAAGTGTACTATATTACATGTAGTCTCCAAAACCTCAGGGAATTTTGTAGCACAATAAAATGCATTTTGAGAATCTTAACTTGTGACAAAACAGTAGTACATGTGTATTACTTTGGTTAACCAATGCAGCATTTCTGGTGGGACGTGGTTTTTAGTTAAAAGGTTGCACCATATGTGTTAGTGCTAAGGTTTTGTTAAAGTAATTCTCATCAATCCAGATGATTCAACTTTGTACTTTTTGATTTGAATGCTTAATAACCGGCTACTTTTGGTGTCATTTGTTCCTGGTTGCAACTACATGTACTTGTCAATATCTGAACAGACACAAATAAAGCATCAATTGATTTTCTGACAGATGGGTTTAAGTTCAAAAGAGTGTTTTATTCATGTGACGTTCTACATAGAAACAAACTGGTTTTATGATGTAAAACATGTAAGGGCAACATCCAATGCACCTGTAGATTCCTCTGCCCGACCTAATTGTCTCAGGTCTGCTGTTGGACTGTAGAGCAACAATGCTGCCTTCTTTCCTGGCAAAGTGAGAATGTGCAACCCTCCCTTCCCCCAAAATTGATTTGGCAATATACTATTTAACAAGGACAGGAAAAAATGTAATGGACACAATTTAAAAATTGGAGTTATTGATACAATTATTTCACTAATAATCCAGGTTACAAACAATGAAATACCACAGATTATGTGTGAAAGTGAGCTGCCAACCATGTTTTGCCTGTCAACAATGGGCCATTATAAAAAAAATCTGAGATTCAGCTTAGTGTTTACGACTCTCGAAGCCAGGGGCATCAGAAGCCACAGTTCCTGCTTTTGCTCAGGTGTGCTTTTCATTTGAATAGTAGAACCAGAACCTGCACAGATGGGTCAGAGCCTAAACAGGCACAGGAGTTGGATTATACAGTTTGAGCCAAGGCTTCAAGACAGTGGCCCCTTGCTTTGGTCTAGTTAGGTTCACATAATCAACATCGAAACATCACCAAAATGCTGATGTCTCAAGATGCTAGCTAAATTATCAAAATCTGTTTGCTAAGGGTTGCAGTGGTGTAGGGGGTGTGTGGCAGGTGAAGCGTGGCCAGCTGCCATCATGACGTCGAGATGCTTGCTCAGGTATCTATCTTATTTAACAGGTGGCGTTCTTCACGTCAGATGCTCTATGATCCTCTGAAAGGTAAAAAAAGAGAAAATTCGAAAAATAAATGCCTTCACCCTTTTTTAGCAGAACTTGATCAGTTTAACTACTTTGCGCCAGGCCCATTTATCCATGTTGATTCTGCTGGGCCTGGTGACTTGTTTTCAAAATTCTTTGGCCGGGATTCTTTTGGCCGGAATTCTTTTGACCGTGACCGCTGGGCTGCGGTATGCCCAGTATGCAAAGCTCTGTCCAGCAGCAGGCCCACATTGAAACTGCAGCTGCATGATGAATAGAATGTATGTGTGGTATGCACTAATCCTCACACAAAGCTGCAGCTGTCGATGGTTCATGGGATGAAGGGGTTAAAAAATTCATAACTTCATTTACTGGACGTTTACACTCACACAAATGACTGATGGCTACTCTAATCTGACAGAAAACATCTACTGACGCTGGAGTATTTCCTTGTAAAAAGAGCCCAGATTGTGCAGTGTTATGTAACTTTCTTTTGTGTCCAAAACTGGCACAGTGCACTGCTGACCTCTTTTCAATGGGGCCAGATTAGCGTGCAGCGGTATTGTATTACTCATCACTGGAGAGCTGAAGTATGTTTTGTCCCCGGTGGAAATCTGCTCATGCTGAGTGCCACAAACAGTGGTATAATCTTTCAAAACAATGGCAGATTTCCTCCGCTATTGACAATTGAAAAAATATTGGCAATTCCCAGCAACTCAGTCAACTCAGTATGGTCTTTTATTACAAGGTCCAGCACTTTTTTCTGATTTTCGGCTCCCCGGCTT